CGGCCCCGCGTCGGCCCCGGTGAGTGCCCGGGGAGGGGGCGGGCGGGAGGGCGCGGAGCGGCGGCGGGGCCGGGGGTGGGCAGGGGGACGCCGCGCGGCCGCGGGCGGGGCCGGGGGGGGGTCCCAGCGGGGCGCTTCCCCCGGTGTAAATGGCTTTTTGTTGTGCTGCGGCCGCCTCGGGGGAGGGGAGGGCAGCGGGGAGCCGGAGCGGCGGCGCCCCTTCCCCTTTCTCTCCCCCCCCCCACCCCCTCGCCCCGGTTCCTCTCGTTAAGTTTGCGGGAAAAGTTGAGCGCAAAGTGCTCGGTGGGGGCGGCGGGAGCGCTCCCCCCCGCACCCCCCCCCCCCGTGCTTGACCACGCTGTCGACGGCACGGGAAGCGCTGTAACAAAGTGAGGGCGCTGCCCTGGCCCGGCCCGGCCCGGCTCGGCCCCGCACATGGGGCTCAGCCCCCAGCGGAGGGAGGCAGGAAGGCGGGCGGAGGGAGGAGGAGGAGGAAGGAGCACGCGGTGCCGGTGCGCGATTGTCCTGCTCCGGTGGCAGGCGGGCAGCGGGGAGGGGGCGGCGGGAAAGAAAGAAGCGCGGGGCTCGGGGGTGGGTGGGGGGGGTTACCGGAGGCCGCGCTGTGGGGTCGGGGAACGGGGGCGGTGGGGAGCGCGGGGAGAGCGCACGCAGCGGCACCGCCGCCGCCCCGCCGGGAGCCGCCGCACGGCCGTTCTGAGGCGGCGGCGGAGCGGCTGCGTGCGCCTGGAAGTGGGAAGCGGACGGGGCGCGCGTCCGTCCGTGTGTCCGTCCGTGCAGGCAGCGAGCAGCCATCATTCCACCGCGGGCGTGCGGCCCGGTAGCCTTAGGGAAGCGGACGCGCTCCCACGCTGGGACTCCCCCCCCTCCCCCCGACCTTTCCCCCCCTCCTCTTCTTTTTTATTTTTTTTTTTCCCTTTGTTTATTTTTTTATTGTTGTTGTTATTTATTTTTTTTCCTTCCCGGCTCGGTCACTCTCGCCCCCAGTCCGAAGGAGTTTTTTTTTAAACAGACAATGGACAAAAGAAAAGTAGCAGCGCCCGGGGAGTTCCCTCGGCACCGCCGCGGGGCCGCTGGATGCGCCGCGCAACTCGCCCCGCACTTGCCCACTTTCCGCCTTTGTTTTCGTTTGGGAAAGAGCCGAGCGTGCCCTCCGACTCCCGAAAAGGGCCGTTTTCCATCCGCGGCCGCTCGCCCTTCCGCGGGTTCCCGGCTCGGGGAATATCGGCGTAACCTCAGCGCGGTAACTTTGTTTCCGTGCCGATGTGCGCCCCGGTTTTTGTTGCTCCCGTGGCGGCGGGGCTGTGTTTATACAGAAGATGGCTTTCGGGAGAATGTGTTCGCCTCCCCCCACCCCCTTTATTTTTTTCTCTCTCGTGCTATACGGGACTGGTGAGGCACAAACAAGTTGAACAAAACATGTTTCTGTTCATTTCCTCACAGATCATCCATTCTAACGACGGCAAAAAAATCTTAATGACTATGACCTTAGCAGCACGGGGAGCTGATTTCCCCCAATTATAAATCCCGTTAGTTTGCGGTAATGTGTGAGTATCAATATATAATTCATACTAAAAGCATGATCCGTAATTATTATTATTTTTATTATTATTTTTTAAATGAAAGTTGAAATCCGTCTTTTCCCAATGAGAATGCCGCATCTGTCGCTCGGAGTGTTTTTGTCTCGCTGTTGCACAACAGAGGCTCTCCAGTCTTTAACCTAAAATGGCAGCTTTAATTTGACTGGGGCCCATTCATTGACAGTGATAATAAAAAGGCTGAAAGCTAAATGTGGCCGGGTGCTGGGGGCGCGCCTGCAGAGCCCCCTCCATTGCCGGGCGCTGCACAGGGAACAACTTCACAGTTCTCCTGCTCTGTCCCAAAAGTTTCCAGTGCATTTTTTTGTGCTTTCTTTTTTTTTTTTTAATTTGAAAAGAAAGAACAAAAAATCGTGGTGCTGTGCTTACAGCCCCTGCTAGGCACCGGGGTTGCTGACAAACTTGGCAGCGCTCGCGTTGTCAGGGGGCTGCTTCTGAGGGCTCTGCCTCCGTAACAGCAGCGGAAAAATTCTCATGATGCTTTCTAACATCAGATGGGGTCTGGAGAACGTTCACCGTTTGTTTCTGGGGACCGTAACAGGTGATGAGAACAATGACGTGCTCAACACTTGCCCATCTCTGGCTGCTGGAAATGGGAGCACTGCCCGTTCCCTGTTGCTGGGGATATGGGTGTGTGGGGCACTTCTCCTCTGGGGGAAACCCATAACTGCCTGGGATAAGTCATTGTGTTCAGTATTGGGCACCGTTGGAAGTTTGGAACAGTTGCACAAAACAAAATTTCCCCTGTGGGAGCACTGTAGAATGCCAGAGCTTGGCATGGCATCTGTCCTGCTCTTCTCTTAACCTAATGTGCTTATTTCCAGGATTTTTAAGCTTATTTCTTTCAATAAGAAATAGATAAAGGATCATTTTGAAAGCTGCACAACACAGTGTTAAATGCTTGTGAATGTGAGTTTAACTGAATTAGTGCTTCCTTGATACTAATTGGATAATTGTATTGGACCAGATATCTAACTAAATATTTAGCAGCATAATGATATTTCTGTTATTCTTGTCGATTCTGGCTGGGCTTTTCAAACTTGCTCAGATAGAAGTCTGGTTTCATCGCCTCTTCTGTAATTAAGGGAAGTTGCGATCATGACTGAAGATCATACAGCTCTTATGGGGAAAATAATAATATTTAAGGATGCAGTGTTGTAAAAATATTGGCCTGAACGGGATATAGCAGCACCCTGCACTCAGAACTTGGCACGCTGGTGGGAGGTGGGTGCTGTAGCCTATCTTCTTTGAATGTGGTCAGTGTGGACCCTGAGGCGGTCCAGGTCCCAGGAGCATCACAGAGCTCCAGCTCTGTGCAGAGAGCTCAGCCGGTGCTGTTTTGGAGAGCTGTTTACTGTTGGGCACTGAGAAGCTTTTGATTAATGTCTGTGGTATTTCTCATTAACGCTCAGATAATATTAGGGCTTGGTGGCATGTGGAATGAGCAGAGTGCCAATGAGGGTGGCACAAGCCCAAGGTGGGAGAAGCTTTGCTCGGGTGCTGCACCAGGACTTAGCCCTATATCTGGAGGTAGTCCTTGGTGCCAGGGAGCAGCATGGCTTTAAAGCAAGGACAAACTGAACATCTAGAGGTGATTTTTTTTTTTTTTTCTGCCGAGGTGCGAGGCCCAAGTTGCAGGAACTTTGCAGGTTTTCCAGTGCTTCTTAAAACCTTGTGCTGAGGCTCTGCAGATTGCCATATCCTGAGCATCCTGGAGCATCTGGCTGCTTGGTTTTGTTTGGTTTCCAGCGTATGGCGTGGTGCGTAAAGGTCGCTCAGCTGGGAGGAGGGGGAAAAGGAGCTGGGAAGGAAGAAAGCAGAAATAAACAAGTGCGTCACCTTAAATTGTGTGTCTTATCTCCACCCCTTGTTTCCTCTTCATCTTATTTTGATATTCTTAGTTGGAAAGCCTTAAGGGCCTGCTGGGTGGTGTTGGTCACGGGGAACCTGGTGTTATTCGGACACGGCTGCTGGCACCTGCCTGGAGCTCCCTGTTCCTCTAATCCTGACCTCTTTGTGTGTCTGCGGTAAGCAGGTTGCTGAGCACCTGGGTTGGGGTCTTGCTTGCTGGTGCCCATGAGCGTAATAAATGCCTGTATCTTATTTTTAAGTTTCTTCTCTGCATGAGGAAAATAGCAAATTTTGGTAAACCATCTTTTTTTTGCGAATGAGTCTTTTGTGCACGGAAGGACCTCTAGATCTCACTTTTCTGGTAGAAAAGTTATTGTATTAACGGACTGCATTGATTTAGCTTAGTTGTTAGGACAGACGTTAACTTTCTCCCTTCCCATCATTCCCTATTTATGCAAACAGCTTATTTGCTCAGTTACAGCCCGCTGGGCTTTGATGGAGGGAAGTCTGGGGTATTGTTTGTGTATGAATGAAAAGGCAAAGGAAAACTCCAATGCAGTTATTATTATTATTTTAGAACTCTTTCAGAGCACAGAGTAAGGCATGGTATGCAGAAACATTCCATGTTGTTATTGGGATTCTGCTGGGATGCTGACAAAGAGTTCTCTCCGTTGGTTCCTTCCCCATCTCTGGGACCTGCTCTCCGTGGCTTTGCTGAGGCCAGCGGCTGTGGAAATAGCACCCCATAGTTCAGCGTTAAAGATACTTGGAAGACATGTTAGAAGAAAAAAAAAAGCCTCAGTGACCTAAAGGACACATTCCGAGCGCCTGAATATGACAACAAAGCTCTTAAGGATATTCTTAAGTATACAAAAGCTGATTAGCTGCTAGCTTCCAATGCTGTGACTTTTCAGAGATGTAAACACGCACCTCAGAGGAGGCCTGCTCTGTGCTGCTGGGCCCTCCTGTGCAGCGACTGCTGCTCCGTGCATCCTGCTGCTGGGGCAGCTCCAGCCAGAAGAGCGAGAAGTGACACTGCTCAACGTAACCATCCTAATCTAAAAGTTAAACTCAGGAGAAGATTGCTAATTATCACGTAAGCCGCCGTGTGAGCCTGGTGCCATAGCACGTGACGTTGCAAGCTTATTGGCGTATAAGAACTAATGGCTGGTGTGGCACAGGGCTCTGTGGTGACCTATATAGTGATGGGGTGTGGTGCTGCTGGGCTTCCACCGGGCTGCCTGTAACCTGCCTGTGCCATGGGCAGCTGCTGTGACAAGAGGGCCTTGAGGGGAACAGCAGGAATAAATAACTTGGGGAATCAGTTGTGTGGAAAAAGTCATTGCAGCCAACATGTCTGTCTTTTTCCTGATGGTTCTGGGAGGAAAATTAAATTTCACGTCGCAAGGCCCTAGGGGTTGTTCTGCTCAGGCTCCCATTGGTCATCGCACCATGGTGACTTTGCCTGCCTGGGCAGCAGGCAGCATGCTGGAAGGTCCCGCACCAAATGGTTTTAGAATGGTTTTAGAAGCACCTTAATTTTAATGACTTTGAGCCACTTAAGCTCTTCTCTTGAGCTTTCTGCTTGCTGCTATAACTTCAACAGGTCTTTGGCTTCAAAGTTTCTTCTTTGTGATTTTGCAGGCCCACCCTGCAATTTGTCCTGATCTCTGCCTACCGAGTCAGCCTCCCTTCTCAAAGCGCTTTGTGGAGGTGTGCATCAGATGTACAAAGCATCATTTCTTTTAAGAGGGAAAGCCAGTCTTGCTCTGAAATATAAACATTATTTCTTCCTGTTTCTTCTCCCCCTGTTCATCCCCAGCTTTCCCATACACTTTTTCAGCCTGTGTCTTTCCTACCTCCTTTTTAATCTTCTTTCCAATTTTTGTTGCTCTTTGTTTGCTTAGCAGAGTTGTGTTTTCCTTGCTAGCCTCAGAGTATTAGGACACATTGCAGAATAAACAGCATTTCAGCTCTGATAGGGCTGCTCTTTGCCTGCAGTGCAAGGGATGCTGCTGCCAATGTGTAAGGAGTTGGGGAGCTACACCATCTAGTTCTGTCACTTCAGCTTCTGTGTTTGTGGAAACTGCTTTCTTGCATTGTTCAGTAGTTAACAAACAGCTGTAAGGTGTGTTCTTCTTGCTCCGTGATGTGGGATGTGTGTGGGCGAGAAGTCTGGTCCTCTCACCTGTTCTGTGTAACCCCAAAGCTACAGGTTAACCTTATCCACATGGTGAAATCTGGGGTGTGTGGAGGAGCGCAGGGGTCTGGACACTGCTCAGAGCTGCACAAAAGGTTTGGAGTGCAGAGGCTGTGATGGTGTGAAGTGGATCCAAACCTTGATCAAGTCAAGACTTAGTGAAGGCACGTTTTTGTCTTGAATCTCTGTATAGGAAGCCTATAGGTTGATTATTCAGAGAGTGAACAGCATTTGCTAAAAGCTATAGGTTCTAGATGCTAAGGAGTAGTGGTCATTCTTCAAGAGAGAACTGAAGGGAAACAGAAAGAAATCTGTAATTTTAGAATTGTAGAGATCAGTGTCAGGAGAAAAAGAGGAGAAAAGGTTTTCCTCAGAGAAAGTCTTGGGGCAGTGCTATCCCAGTGGGATGTGGAACAAACTCCTGTGGGATAGGAATGGGAAACTCAGTTCAGAATTTCAGCTCCGGCAACTTGTGTGGGCTGGTGAGCGGGGAGGCCGTGCGGTGGTGACGTACTGTATCAGCGTGTTCCTTGCTTAGAGAGCTGCTGAGATAGAAATCCAAGGCTGAAATGCTACTTGTCAGCTTGGACTGTAGAGAGCAGCAGTTTAGTATTTAATCTTAGAGCTGGAAATAAGACAACCTGAAAGGATATCTGACTTTGTTTTTAATGCTCGATAGAAGGAGGATTAAAGAAAGGAAGGTAATGGTGAGGCTAACAGATGTTCCAAAACTGCTCTGATAAGGCTGAGATGGCATTGCACGTAGGTGAGAGACTGGTAAGTTTCAGGGATGCATCTTAATTAATAGTTGGGATGTGCCGGTTCTCAGAATCTTGTACCTATGTAGTACTGGATAGGAGAGCATCTCTCAAGTCCAGAAATCCGGTGTTCCTGGTAACTCCAGTCTTTTAGTTTCATATTTGAATGTATAGTGTATATATGGGATCAGAAATCACTCTGTAACCGTAACAGTGGTTATTAGGTTGAAGTAAGGTGTAAGATGATGTTCTGATGAACTGCCTGGCATGCATCTAGGTGCAAGTCCTGCGGCTTTTTGAGGCTGTGCTCTGAGTTCTGTCACCTTGGGTTGGCAGTGGCTACTTGTTGATGCTGCTGTTTGCTGCCAGGTAGAAGGCGGACAGATCCCTGTCTCTGACTCTGGGTCTGGGAGGTGCTTGGGCTGTGCTGCGAGCTCAGTTCAGGTCCAGATTTCTGGTAGAGGTCACAGGGAGGTTTTGTCAGGATGGCCTCAGCACAGGCCCTGTGCCATCTGAGCCACTGCTTACCTGAGCACAGAGGTCCCTTGAACTCCAGTGAAGGGACTCCTGTTACAGTGTAATTCTTGCCTTGAGTTGTTCTGAACATGAAGAATTAAACTGAGAGCTTACAGCAAGCAATTTAATCTCTTGATTTAGGAAGGAGTCATTCAGGAAGTGAGTTAAACAGGGGCTCCTTACATGCCTGAGGAGGTAAGTCTGGGAAAGACCTGCTAAGTAATTCACTGTATTTATCGGTGCTGTTATGAGGTGTCTGCCACACTTTGCATTTGCTTAGCTCTGTGAATGGGTGCAACCTTACTCATCCCTGCTTTCATCATCCTTTCTTGGGAGGGGAAGTGAACAAGCAGGCTTCAGCCTCAAGCAAGGGGGAAGTGATCTCTGCAGAGGTGTGCTTTGTTGTGGGCCGTTAATTTGTACAGAAGTAAAAACAGGCAGCGATGCAATTCCCCAATTCCATCGTATTTTCAGAGAGGTCATTGGAAAACTGGCATCACCTTCACTTGCCCTTCAGCTGTACTACAGTTCTGCAGCAACGGTCAGCCCCAGGCAGCTCTTGGGTATTGCACTTACCCTATTTCAGTCAGGACTGGAGCTTTGTGGCAGCCATGCAGAAGGAAAAGAGTTGTTTGGCAGAATTGGTTGAGGGCAGTGCAGGAGCAGTTCCCAGCCTGGCTCTGATCACTGGTGTAGAAGATGACGGTCTTAGAAGTCACGCGTGTGAGATGTTGCATTGAAGCTTAAGAAAAGAAAAGTGGAAGGGGGAAGTGGTTTGTGCCTTTTCACTTAATCATGGTTAGATTTAAAGAAGTGCATGTTTAAGGTGACCGAGTTCTGAAACGACTCCTCCTCAAGGAAATAAGCAGGTGCCTCGTACCCTCACTCTCCCTGCAGCCACCAGCAAATGACTGCTTGGCTTTGGGATACTGAAAACAACCACTTCAGCTCCCAAAAAATGGCAGATGGAGGGAGCTGCTCCCACCTTTCCTCTCAGAAGAAACTCCCCTACCACAACAGGAAATGTTCTAATCCCTCTTCCTGAGGCATTTTTCTCTTTTCACCACCCTCTGTCTCTGAGGAAAGAAGACCGGGCTACCTGCCTCTCTGGATGGAGTGGCCAATCCTTGTCCCTGCTGAGGTTGGTGTGGGGCTGGGGGCACAGCTGGGCTCTTGGGGTTGGGGTGCTGTGACTGGTCAGTGTACACCACTTAGCTAAGGTGGCTTAGGCACAGAAAGAAGGATATCAGTCAACCCACAGGGAGAAAGCATTGCTCTGAAAACCTGGTGGCATGTGGTGAAACACCTTGTTGGCTGGACTGCCTCCCTCGAGGCTTTTTTTTCCCTAGGATTTTAAGGAAGCAGGGATGCCAGCCTTCTGTAACAGGTCTGCTTGGCTTCTGGTGACAGCCCCAGAAGAAAAGGCCACGTTCTCTCAGTTTTCTCCTTAATAGAAATTCTTGTAGGTTTTCTTTGTTGTATGGCTTTTCGAGATTGGTGGTCACTTTCCAGTGGCTTTTTTTGTTTTTAACTGAAGTAGGATCTCCACATCTTTCTTCACCTATTCTCTTCTATCTGAGTTATGCTTATCCTCATCTTTTATCTCTGTGAGAACACTTTTTTTTTCTTTTTCCACTGGAGTGTTGTATGTAAATCTGTATAGAGAGTATATATTATAGTTCTTGTACAATAAATTATTTGGTAGCTCTTAGGACAGCTGGAAGGTGTTGAGTGTTGCCTTGCAGTCCATCTAATCGCATATAAGTCAGGATGTGAGTTGGGGAACGCAGTGAGCTAATTTAGCAGGACATTGTTCTGTGAGGAGAAGTTTCCACTCCGCCTTTGTCCCTCTGCACCCTTCTTCCCAGGCGCCTGGCTCTAAAGCAGCTGCGCTTGTCAGGTCCTTCTGGGAACCACTTTAGTTCACTGAAATGGCAGAAAAATAACCCGGGAAAATGGAGAGCAGTTTGCTGTTGTAATGAATCAAACTGGCTCATAAAAGGATCTGATGAACACCAGAGCTGGTACTAAGGACGAGGGGGGCCTGTGGCTTGGAGAGCAGCAAGCCCTTTTCATCTTTTCATTTTGGTGGCAGTGAGCAAGTGGATTGGATCAGTTGCTTGGGAACCTTCCTGGATGAAACAGAGATGGAATAATCATTTGTGAAGCAAAGGACACCAAAAGGAAGATGTGCTGGCTTGAGTTCAAACTGATATTGAAATTTGTTTATTCTAGCAGTGGTATGGACTGCGTGCTCTAAATTGTTTGTTAGAATTAATAAACTACTGTCCAGAAGTCGATTTTCCTTTTGAGGTAGAAGAACAAAAGCTGAGGAGATTTACTGAGGTATAAATGGCTTTTTGGAGATCTCACATTTGGAGTATTTCATCTTCAAAACACTTGATTCACAAGAAAGTGCATTGTTCTGCGTGTTTTCCTCATTTTGTGTTGTTTTTGTGGGTGTGATTCTCAGTGGTAAGCTTAAAGTTCTCCACTAGGTTCATAAACTTACAGATCCAAATTGTATGTCCCAAACTTTATCAAATCAATGTTTAATTCAGAGGGTTTGGTTACTCAGAACTTTATCCCAAGTATCTGCGTTATTCTTACATTAGTTTGAGGTGGTGCGAGATTTCTTGGTCTTCATAATTATCAAAGACTGTGTTGTTCTGATGGTTCTGAAGCTTTCCCACAGAGAAATGAACATGTGATTAATTGCAATCACATTGCTCTTGGTTGTTTGAAATGGGTGAAAAATATATTGCAAGTAAAATAGCATGCTGTTTGGGTACTTGTTTCACAGTGCTTCTGCTGCCCTTTGGAGAGACAGATGGGTGTTTGACATTCTATAGCTCTCATAAGGAGTGGACATATGACAGAAAGTCAGCAGCTCTGTCTCAAGAGCTCATGCTCAGGCTTCCTAACAATTTTAGGTGACTTTCAGAGCAGCAGGAATACATCAGGAGAAGCTGCTTGCTTCTGAAGAGCCGTTGTTATTGTGGAGTTCTATGCGTAAACTGCCTACTGTATGACAGAAAGGTAGCACACAGGTGAAAGAGTGGATTCTCCTTTCCATTTTTCTCGAAATACGGACAACTGTGTGTGCTTTAGTGGAAGGTGAGCGCTTGCTGTGCTACTCGGCAGGAAGAAATGTGCTGCCTCATAGATGGATCCTTTTTGCATGTTTTAAATCTGAAAGTGACCTTTCAGGAGCTGCGGGGATGGCAGGAGAACAGCAGAGGGGACTTGCAAGTTGGGACCTGAGGATGTTGCACACTGCTTCTGGGGAAAGCTCTGAGGAGTGGTGGCTCTGACTCACGTTGTGTGTGTTCAGAGCGAATACTGTAGTTACTAAAAGCAGCTTGTTTACTTTAGGAGTTGTATGTGCTAGCTCTAATGGATGTTAGGAAGCCCAAAGCACAGCTGTAAAACATCTGTCTCAGGGACCAGGTCTTGTCTGTCTGATGAATTTTTGTCCTGCATTTCATGTTCAGATTTTAAAAAGAATCTTTTTTTTCTTTTAGTAGGAAAGTTCTTACCCTTCCTGCTTGAAGGCTGGGTTACACTTGAAAAGCTATCATGCTGTTGTCCTGAAATCAGAACTTAAAATAGTGACTCAGTATTAACTTAACTCCACTTCCTCTTTAATCCGATCATCTTGCTTGCTATATGACCTTATAACACCTTAATTTAAAGGCTGCTTATTCCAGTGGATTAAATTTGGAGGTGTCTGGAGCGGTGGGCATTGCTACAGGAAGTGCTTAAGAAGAACTGAGAAACCACGTAGCCTCAAAAAGCCCCCAAAATGGAGGACAGTGGATGGATGTTACTAATGTATGGTCTGTGCAGCAGTGCAGGACTTGCTGAAGGTTAGAGGTGTTTTGAGAATATGGTTCTGCTGTGCTCTGGATATAACTATATTCATTTCTAATGAGTGAATTTGATGCTCTCAGCTTGATGTATGCATCAGTAGGCTACAAGGCAACATACCTGCTCAGCACTTGCCCCTTGGGGTGGTCAGTTGGCTTTTCTTCCTCTCCTTGTATTTAGTGCTAGTGGGCTCAGCAGGCAGCTGTGAGCCAGGGACTCCAGTGCTGCTCCCAGCAGCTACGTCAGGCTCATAGTGATGCCTTTTGAGGTCTGCCATGCTGGGCTTGGCAATAGTTGCTGTGTACGCACCAGCTCTCATCACGTGATTGTGGTTATTTACACAGTGTTAATTTTGTCTTGATGCTGCTCTTGTGAGACAGGTGAAGCTTAGCCTTAAGAGCAGAGTTGGTCTTCTATTGAGCACTTTTAGAAATCCATTATGATGTTTAGAAGTAGGAAGAGCGTAGTTTCTATCATACACTGTGTTATTAGCCATTTTGTCTCATATTTTCTGTGAAGGTTTTCTTCCATCTCAAGTCAAACCTTGACTAAACAGGAACCAACCAATCTCTTTGAACAGCTGTGTGTTGGGTGTGATCTGAATATGGGGCTTACAGTCACTTTTCCTATACTCGTGAAACCCTTGATTGTTATGAGCCTTGGAAAAATCAACAACTGGCTTGTGCTGCCTTGTGTTGGGTGGAGGTTTAGCAGAAGGCTTGTTATTCTGTATGGGGCACACGCTGCTGCACTCCTTCCTGCAGTGGCAAAGGCTGGAAACTGTGGAGAGGCACAGCCCGTATTCTGCACTTCTTGAGGGGAACATCCACATTGCAGATTTAGAACGATGAGCGCAGTTCCTGCTTAATAGGTAACAGAGAGGTTTTGTTTTCAGCAGCTAAGGTGTTGCACAATGACTGGTGGCTTGGAGCTGAAGATTGAATTCAGTCTTCCAGTAATTCCTTTAAGTGCTTAACCTAAATATGTTGTAGTTATTTTAAGTACCTTTTTATAAGGGTAGTAAAACTTCAAGCCAGTGCTTTGACTTGATATTATCTCTTACAGCTGCTGTTTAAAACAGAAAAAAATATGAACATTTTAATTTTTTTAGCACTTCGTATTGTTTTAACTCCTTCTCCTTCAATGTGAAAAAATATATTTAATGTAAGTTCGGTATTCCTGAAATTTCAATGTATAACACAATTTGGCTTTGATTTATTCTGAAACCGAACTTAGGATCCACTGAGTAGCATACAGAGAAGCCCTGCTTGTGCTGCAGTGTTGAGTACTGCCAGCATTTCCATTACTCCCTTCATCCACTGTTTTCCTTCACCTGTGCTCCAAAGTGGATAAAACCAGATTATAGACTTTTTTTTTCTTATTGGAGTAGTCCTTAATGCAACAAAAAAAGGTAGCGTTTCAGCATAGCCTGATACTCATTATTTTGGGTGTCCTTGTCTCATTCATGCTATGTGCTCCCAAGCGTTGTGATGGCACTTCAGCGGTGATAACAGGCACCGAAATGCAGTTTCTTTGCGTGAGGAGAGCAAAATGATATACTGAAAGTTGCATATTATCAAAGTAGCATATTTGTTAAGAGCTATGTTAGTTGTGTTACAATCTTGCTTTTTTAGTGGCGGAATGGCTGCCCCAAGGATCTGCATTATCCCCAGCCCTGCCTAGCAGTGCCCTGGTGGAGGCTGTCCAGGAGCAGAGTAAGCCCTTCAGCCTCTGCAACTTCACAGCTCAGAATTTCCTTGGAAAAAGTGATGGGTAACACTTAATGAGTTTTTCTTGCATGAATTCGCCCAGTCCTTTCTCAGTCTATGTAAACTCTTTAGCTTCCATTGGGACTGCGGCAATGAATTCTGCAGCTTAAGTACACATTGTATGAAGAACTGCTTCCTTTTATTTGTTTTATTTTGAACCTACCACCTGCTAGTTTTGTTTGATGTTCTCTAGTTTCCTTGTTAAGAGAGAGGGAACAATGGCTCCCTACTTACCTGCTCTGTGCTGCTGGTGCTTCTGTAGGCTCTCTCTGGTTCTCTCTTCAGTTGTCCTTTATCTGGGCTGGAGACACGGTGCCCATCACTCTACTGTGGTCTTTCAGTCATTTTACTCCTGACGTGGAACTGCAGGAGGATATGGGTATTCCACAGACTTGTGCAGCAACTTCAGTGATCATCTCTGCTGCAGTTGTTTCTTTGTTTTTAATTTTTATTTTTCCAGGACTGCTCGTAGCGTTTAGAATTCTTAGAGTACAGCTGAGTCTGTTGACAGATGGTGTCTTCCTAGATCCATCTCTTCTAGCTCCCAAATCTCCTTGAGAGTGAGGCAGAGCTCAGGAGGATGTATGTGAAGCAGTCAGGCTGTTTTTTTCCAGGTGTGTTGCATTCTGTTTACCCACGCTGACTCTCATCACCATTTTATTTCACCTTTGCTGGGTATGATGAAGATTTGCCACTTCCTGCTTTTGATTTTCACTTTTAGCAACATGAACTCTTTGCTTTTACCAGCAAAGTTACTTTAGGGCTCATCTCCTGTTGATCATTTACATGCATGCTAAACAACACGGGTCTTGTCATAGACCTCACAACACTCAGTTGACCTTTCCTAACACTTCTCTCCTGTTTAGAACAGCCTGCTTACCCATGTGCACACCTTCCCTCTTTTGCAGTTGTGGTGTCATTTAAAGAACCTGTGGTGGAGGACTTTGGTCAGAAGTTGAGGTGTATTTTGAACATACAAGTCAGCTCAGACTTTGACCTCTTATCAATTGTTTCAAAGAATTTGTACGTATTAGTAGCACTGGGCTTTTCTATAGGAAGGCACCACCAGTGCTTCTGTGGTCTGTATTTATCCCTGTTCCCACGGAAGTTGCTTCTTGCATCTTCTCTGTATTCACCCCACTGAGAAGCTGGACTTGCTGGCCTACAGTTCTTAACAGCCTAAATGTGTGACTGCCTTTCAGGACGTGAAAGCAGTATTTGACACCAATGGTATGGTGAATAGATAAGCTGTTTTATCCTTGAGCTTGTCAGAACTCTTGGCTGAGTACCATCTTGTTTTGGGAACTTGTTACTGTTTGCTTTAGCTTGACCCAAAACTACCTTTGAGGCTTTCTGCAAAGAAAAATTCCAAGAAAAGCTTCCCTTAGCTTCTCCAGTGACAGTGAATGCAAGAAGTCCTTTGTTTTCTTAGACTGTTTTGTATCATGGCTGTGCATTAGCCCAGTGGGTTTGCCAGAAGGCTTCACGTATGTGGCCTGTGTGAAATGAACTTTTATTGCTTTGCCCTTTTGCGCATGTGCTATTTGTTTACATTTTTACTTGCTAGTTCTTTTATTTATTAATTCTCTCTTATGAAGAATGTTATTTATTGCGTTAATTTCCCCAGCTTCTGGTTTACTTTTGAATGTTTTTACTCTGGTTTTTTGTTCTATTTTTTGTCTGTCATTTGCAACCATTTTGTCCAACTTTGGTTCTCTTACCAAGCTTCCTCATTTTTCATACTTTTTTTTCAAAGTAAGCATTCCAATAGTATGTTTTGGTGGTTGCTGCTTTTTAGAAATGCTAAGCTTAAATGTATTTAGTAAATGTCATTAGCGATAGCTGTTATGCTGTAGTCAAGTCAAATGTGATGTGGACAAACGTGAATGTAATATAATTTGTTAGATGTTGAAATAATCCATAATCTTGTTAAAATGCTACACTGTAACACTGCATGTTTCACTATAACTTCAGAGAAGTGTTGAAGAAGTATGGTTTAATTTGCTTTTATAACCTGTTTTGTTCTTGCCAGCAAATCAGTTACCTTGCCGACTTGTACAAGTGGCATGGAAACCTGAATTGAATGGGATGGATTTAAGAATGAGACAAAGTATGTGACTGTGTCCTTTGATGACAGTTCCCCATCAGTTGTAAATTGGTGCATTTGTCCAAATATGCAGTATAAAATAGCATTACAATCTAGCTGTAGTTATCATGGGACCCATAACTTTGATTTTTCTTCTTCTTCGCTTCCCATGTGAAAACCTCTAGTGTAGTATAGTATTTAATTGTTTAACACTGAGGTCTCTCTGTTTTATCATAGTATGTGACATGTTACAGTACCACTCTGTATAAAAACGTTTGGTGCTTGAAGCCGTGGTGGAACAGTAAGAGTTTATTCACATATAGATGAAACTAGTGTATTTTAAAAAGTTTGCAGAAATAGTATCTTCTTTGTGGGGGCTTTTGAGAATTATATTGCTTTGCTTAGCTGACACGTACTTGAGAAAGTAGGATCAAACTGAAAACATGAAGTCATGAGCATTTACTGCTATTTTGTGTTTCGTGTGATAATTTCTGTTTGAGACAAGGCTATCTTGAAAGTTGCTTCGACTTCCAAAGTATGCAGAAATACTGCATGTATATCTATTTCAGACTAAGCAACTGAATTTGGGGAGTTTTGCTCTTAACCAATGGAAAAAAGTTTGTTCTGCAAAGATCATGAGCTGTTTGAGACTGCTTATTCATGAAGGTAGACTCACTGATTTTGTGTGATGAAGGAGCAGCTGGTTCAGAAGGGGTGCTCTGGAAGGTGGCAGTTGTGAGTTCACAGAAGTTAACAAAAAAGTGGAATTTTTCGAGAGTTCTTCTGTCTCCTCCTGCCAAGACCATAGGTGTCATGAAGGGTTTGCACTCATTCCAGGTGTTGAGTTATGGTTGTACTTTAAGTTAATTTTTAAGCTTTCTCATGAAACCTCCTAGGTAGCCTCCTGTATGTATAAAATACGCGTATTGGCTGGTTTTGTTTAATTCCTAAGTGAAGTTGAAATGAATGTGCTTGTAGGTCAGCTGGATTTGTTGAGGGGAAGCAGGAAACAAATCCTATATAGAAGTACAGGTTTTTGGTATAAAAAATAGCTTGAAAGAATTCTAGAACGGTGTTGCTCTGTGGTTAAAATAATGCTGGTAAAGCAGCTAGCACAGAGTGGAGGGATGCTGTTCCGTCTGGTGGCAGAATGTAGGCTGATAGCACGATTTGAAGTAACGGGTTGAAATGAATCTAGCCAAGACATGACTGGAAACAGTGGGTTGTAAGATGATGTTTAATGGGGGAAGCAATGATGGGTGTTTGTAGGTCAGACTTTTTTTTGTATCTCTTACAAAACCTGTGCATTTTGAGCTCTTCCTCCTAAGTAACCTTCATGAGTAGAAGGATAATCTGAAATTTGTTCGTTCAAAAGCTGCGTGGTTGTTCCACATGAGTACAGTGCAGCCCTGCTAGTGGAAGATCACAAACTATCAGTCACCTGTTGCCCATGTTTAAGTGGAACTGGGGCTTTTATGGGCTGATTTATTAGAAGACACTGCTTACAGGCTTGTTTAAAAGTGGCAGAAGCAAATTTGATAAGAAAAAAATGACATGACAGTTCAAGGAGATTTCGTCATGGTCTATGAATAGCTGATAAACAAAACGAGGTGCTGCAGCTCTGTCATTTCCTCCACTCACCTCCCTGTCCCCATCCCCCCACACACATAGGATTTTGAAAGTGGCATTGGGAGGAGGAAGTTGCTCTTAATCTGGTAGCATGAGTAAGGCTATGGATTGCAGGTATCTGCTGCAGCTTCTGTGGTGCTTGTTCAAGGCACATGTATGAGTTTTGTTTGCCCTTGCCATCAATAGGGCAATATCTTTTTGGGCAGGCAACAAGTTTTTAATAGGCTGTGCCCCACCAGGTGGTCAGGTGTTCCTAACAAAGTAGTTGGGTGGCAATTACTGGCAATTACTCATTGAATTGTAACTCTGAATCACTGAAAACTGAGGCAGTTGGATGGTCGGTTGCTTTATTCTTAACTATGTTAGAAGCTCAGCTTCAAAAGGGTGAATTACGAATAAGGGATCAAACTAAAAGGCAGGAGAGCCCTTCCGTGGGTTAGAGAAGTCTTCAGCTAAGTTTGGTGGTGTTAGCGCGTTATCTCATTCTTAATCAAAAAAGATGTATGTGGCAATGGGTGCTATGAAATCACATGCTGTAAGTTTCACATCCCTGCATGAGAGGATTGCAGAGCAGTTACATGATAGTGCAATAGCATCCCAATGTTGGCTTTGTTGTAGGATAAAATCAAAACTGACTCTTTGACAGCAAATTGTCAATCTTCCTTGCTTTTTTCATGGGTTTACGTACATATTTGTTCCTTTTGGTGTACCCTGAAGTTTAACATGGTGTAGAATATTCCTGAGTTATCTACAACAACAAGATTTGGGCAATCTTACATGGAAAAAAGTACTTTAAAAATGTTTGTGGAGGCTGAATATCCTACAGTGCTTCTCGTGCTTACTTTCCTCCCCATATAATTATCGATATGAGTCAGGCAAGAACATGTGATTGGAGCATGAATTGATTCACATCTGCCCATCACTCAGCCTCATTTTCCTATTAACAGGATAGGTGAGGATTAGTGAAAGGACACAGATGATTTGTTCCTGTATAGGTATGGTATCTTGTAGTTGAGAAAGCTGCTGTTCCTCTCTTCTTCCCCTTTCCCCTTTTTACATCTAGAAAAGAAATAGTCAAGGTACTAGTTAAGTGTTTTATTTGGAGAAGCAGAATAATAATCATAGTAATCCTGTCACTTAATATATAGTAAAATATATATTAAAAAAAGGCATTTATCTGAATATTCATCTAGGTACTGCTGTAACAGAGATGATATGGACTTGCCATAACTTCTGAAAAACAAGTAATGTCACGGGCAAAAAAGAAACCAAGTGACACGTTACTATGGCCAATTCTTTTGTTTAGAATGGACAACTTGGGACTTCAAGGCAAATGATATGGATAGTTTAAGAATTTTTGGGCATAATTTAAGATGGTGATCTTGATAATCCTGCTTGGAAAGAAAAACACAATCTCTGTGTTAAGATAAATGCATTTTCAGAACCGGCAATGCTAGTAACAGCAACCTTACAAACACTGTGCATTTTCATTAACTGAAGTCCCATCCATAGTCCCTGGCCTTTCCCAAAAAACAAGAGATCTAAAATCTGCTAGTTTTGTTCTGCCTTGTGATAAGCCTGATAGTATGTAACTATACTTGTCCTGGACTGTCACTTGCCCTACATGATTACAAGATTGCTGGGCATTGACTGATATGAAGTCAGTCATTAGTTGAGCATGCAACTAACAATGTGTTTTCAGTGTAATTCCAGATTTTATATTGGATTTCCTTGTGGCTTGTAATTTCTCTTTAAAATGTTTATGTTACTTAGATCTTTGGTGTGATTAAGAGCATTTACAAAGCGGCTTGCAAATGAACAGAATTAAAACATAGCATATCTGTGGTATGTCTTAGTCCAGTTCCAGGTTTCTGTAACATGAAATGCCATCCACTGTTGAGGCTTTGGTTTTAAGATATATAAGCATTTTCAGAAGTGGAAGGCTGAAAACAGAATCTTGAAATATGTCTAGAATCAGTGGCCAAGTCAAGTCCTGGTTTTGAAGCTTGATAGATCTCAGCCTCTGGTAGTCTTTCAAATGAAACCATCCTCTGCTCAGTGTTGGAGCATTTGGAGTTAGTAAATGTGAGCTTTGTGGAAGTTGTGTAAATGAAGCAACTCATTTAGAAGTTTAACCTATTCATTCAAGAGATTTGGCGTAGTCAAGGATGGAAACCTGTTTTCCAAATGGCATTTGCTTTCCTTGTGTACGTATTTCAGTATATTTTGGCTGACTGACTGACTGTAGTGAAGTGATTGTGTGAGGAAAAGCAGAAAACTTACTGAAGAAAAAAATATCCTCTTGCACCAATCTTTGTATATTGATTAGTGGATATTTTCCATTTATGACCTTGAAAAATCCGTCTTCCCTGCTCAAGAGCAAACTCTTTTCTGAATACGTTTTCTCTCTCTGGGCTATAGTAAGTATAGCCTACAGTGCAGAGTAAATCATTTTTTTGTTATACTGTTGAGTATAATTTAGGTTCAGTTGATGATTACTGCCTAATTGCGGTTGGTAGACTGAGTGGATATACTGCACTTAAGTTTAGGTAAAAGATCCCCTATTTAATGAAGTTGAATGATAAAACCTCCGATAGCTCATTCTCTTTCAGCAAAAGTCTCACAGATTTGTGCTATCACAGTTGGTACCCCTTTAAAAACACCCCTGAATCCTTGAAGAAGCATCCTGTGTGATAGCTCTTATTCAATGAGTTCTTAGGTGTTTCTGAAAGATTTATGGTGAAGTCCAAAGCATTTCAAGGCCAAGTATAGTAGTCTTGTCAGATACAGCTTTACAGCCTGGTGACTTATAATGAGGGTAGAATGTAATTAGAAATTGTCCATGTCTTTACTGAGTACTGATGAAAACTACGGCTCAAAGGTTAATTCAAATAATAATTAATATTGGTTTCTGTCAGAACAGGGTGGTAATGAAATCTCTGTTGTATGATGACTGATTCTAAGAAGTAGATGTGTAAGAAATAGAGGCTACAGTTTACCTTTTCTGATTATATTCAGTTATCTTGCAATCAGCATGATAGCTTGATAAAGCATAATCTGAGGGCAATTTAAACATACTCACAGACATTGCAACCTACAGGGAGAATCACCTAACAAGTTGCATCTGTTTAAGGGGATAGATTCATAGCTGGATTCCTGAAGTACATGGATTTACTATAAATAATCCTTAAGGACCCTGTAAGAAATGTTCTTTGTTAATAACTGAGCAACGCCGTGTGTTTGTGGAAGTATTCTTAATAAGATTTGTTAGCATGAGAAATGTGGGATGTTATATTGATGTTTGTTTAAATTGGACTAGTTTCAACGAAAGCGATAGACTGGGTTTTGCTGGCAACCAAAACAAATTCTGTTCGGTTTCTTTTCCTGAAATTTTCTATTGGAAAAGGCTGTTAGCTATTGCTTAAGCAAGTGTGTGTGTGTGTGTGTGATTTCAATTGCAAGTAGTCAGTGAGCTACTAATCTCTTTTTTTATTATTATTATTTTCAAAGAGGTGTCATGACTACTTTATCTTCTAATTTTCTGTACCTGCTATGATTGTCCTCTTAATCTGCCTACCCCAAAGCTTCTCTAGACAGTTACAGCTATAGCTTGCTGTTCTGGGACCCAATTAGTTCTGCATAACATTTTTCTGAACACTTTTCTGAAACATCTCCTTTCTTGCAGTATGTCTGTCTTAAACTGTAGAACAGAATCATAGAATCACAAGGTTGGAAAAGACCTACAAGATCATCTAGTCCAACCGTGTTCCCATTGCCACTGTTAAATGTTACTGGACTGCTTCCCATCATTTCAAACTTGCCATAGTTATAAGGCTGTTTCCTCTATTGTCAAAAAGGAAAGTTAAATGTTTCTAGATTAGTTCTGACAAAGATTGGGTATTTTCATTCTTAACTCTTGTGAAAGTGATTACAAGATAGATTTTTTCGCTCATCTGGATAATGCTTTCCATACAAACCACTTCAATTCTTGGGAAGCAAAGAGGCTTTTCAATCAAGATTGTACCTCTTGGGGATGGGGACACCCAAAGGGAAATGGGTTAAGCAGGAGAGAGGATGGGAGAGGAGCGTGGGGGTGGTATGTTAGAACACCTAAGATGAGAGAGATGAAGCAGTATGTTGATCTTTGAGCTGCTCTGGGTGATCTTGCTGCTTTCTTCGCATTTTCTTGACAGCCTAGACTAGAGACT